AATTTATTCCATTTTCAAATTTATTAACTTTTTTTACTTCACTCAGAAATGAAAAATTCTGATTGGCCCTCTCATAGGCTCCTATGTCTGTTTGTTAGAGTTTGGATATGTTTCATGTTGGGCTGGAGGAAACATTTCATATTGAAAGAGGTTATGTGGTTTTCTACAGGTTAGGCCACAGTTCCTTTGGCTGGATATATCCATCCTGTATTACAATAGGTGCTCCATCCAAGTCTCCTGAGGAAGAGGAATGAGGACTATCCACTCTTTCCTAGTTCTCCCATGGAATCTATCTGGGACTGATTGCTGGCACTGACTGAAAGTTGCCTAATGGGCAGAGAGAGAAATTAACAGTGTTGGAGAACCTACTATATGCCAGACACTGGGTTTAATATATATTTGCCTTGTCTCAATTTTCTTAACAATTCCATTAAGCAATTATCATTTTCTTTAGTGTACTATTGAGGAAACAGAGGCTCAGAGAGATTAGGTAACTAATCCAAAGTCCCAGCACTAGGAAATGGCAGAGCTAGGAATCAAATATCATCCATTCAGACACTATGGCCAGTCTGTGGTGACTACACTTGGTTCAGGGTGTAGTCAATGAACGAAATCCCATGTATTCTTCTTAAGTTTAGGGACAATGAGTGTATGAGAGTGGGGAGACTTTAGGGTTCAGTTCAGTATTTTTAAGCCGCTGATTCCTATTGCTTCTGGCAGGACTTTGATATTGATTGTTTAGTAGGTGCTGATGTTCCATGCTGACATGTGCTGAGCTTCTCAGGGGCTTGAAGGAGGCTCTGTTTGTCTTTTTAGGGCCAGCTATACACCAATAGCTATGCTGTTATCGCATTGAGGCCTTAGCATTTCTCACTTCAAACCGATTACTTCTTTATTATCTTAATATGACATCATTGACCATCTGTCTGGTTTGAAATGTGAAGAAAACTAATCCTGTACAATAATGACTTTCAAGTGGAACACCAAATCTATAGGGATATTCAAGAATTTTCCTTTTAAAAAATGAATTTTCTCTAGCCTGTGCTAACTGTCCATTTATCCATATTTATAGAAGTTCATCATTTAATAATTTGATATCATTTTGCTTGTGAGGGCAGGCATATTTTAAGATAAAGCATTATTCCCCTTTCTTATTGATTTAAAAATGTTTAGAATTTTCATTTGTAGCATGTAAGCAATAATACTTTATTCTTTGTTATTTTTCCCTATGTTATAAGCCAAATGGCATTTCATTTAAATTGATTCTAAGCACATTTCTTTTAGAGAAACCAAAGATTGTGATCTTAGGCCACACTGATTAAATTTCATTCTGAGTCAACAGTTTGCTATGTTTGTGCTGAGCATGTGAGCAGGTGGTTTGGTTCTGCGACGAGGGCAGTGGTCCCCCAGGATTCATCTTCACCAAGCACAACAATGCCTTTGTAAGAAGTTCCTCTTCTCTCTGAGGGGCAAAGTGTACATTCAGTGCCTGGATATCCTTTATTTAGTTGAATAGTTCATTTATTGAACTTCTGTTACATACCAGGCATAGAGGTGTTTTACATACATTATCACATCTCATTAAATCCTCATGGCCACCTGTGAAATAGTTATGGCATAGGCATCATTATCTTCACTTTCCAGGTGTTAAAGTTTAGTGATTACACAGATGGTGTCTAATAATGTCAGGGTTCCTATGTCTGTGTGACTTTTCAACTATAACATCTTGCCCAGGGATAAATTAGGAGAAGAATTTTAGGTGAAACTGGGGAAATAGTGAAAGGGCCTTGGATTTTATTCTGCGAGTGACACCAACATTTTCACTCATTCATTCAATATGTAAGTATTGAGCATGTACTAGGTGTCAAATGAGGGCAGTGATGGTTCAGTGACAGAGTTCACCTTCCATGTAGCGGGCACTGGTTCTGTTCCCAGTCAGTGCACCTCAGGTACAGCCCCCACCCATCCGTCACTGGAGGCTTGTGTGTTGCTATGATGCTGAACAGGTTTAAGCAGAGCCTCCAGACCAAGACAGACTAGGAAGAAACACCTGGTAATCCACTTTAAAAATTCAGCCAGTGAAAGCCCTGTGAATCACAGTTGTTCAATCCCATTGTGCATAGAGATCACCATGAGTTGGGGACCAAATAGAGGGCAGCTAATAACACCAGCAACACTATGTGCCAAACTATCTAGGCAGTGATGATGTAGCAGTGAATTAAAAAATAATAATAATAGTAATAAAAACCCCATGAATCCCTGCCTTCCAGTTTACAATCTAGCTATTGAAGGTACTGAGCAGAGAAATGATGTGGCCTGGCTTGGTTTTACCAAGATCCTCTAGCTGCAATGTGAAGCATCCCCTACAGAGGGACAAAGGCTGTGACAGGGAGACCAGATAGGAGGCCAACGAAGCAATCCAGGCAAGAGAAGATGATGTCTTGGACCAGAGTGGTAGCAAAGGTGAGAGGCTGATTCTAAATCTACATAGAAGGAAATGCCAATGGGATTTGCTGATGAATTGCATGTGGAAATTGCTTTCCCAGACTTAAATTTGAACTCAGGTCACTCTTCAACCTAAGCTCCTTTTAAACTCCTTAAAATCAAACCAAACCAAACCCAGTACCATCAAGTCAATTTTCAGTCATAGTGACCCCTATTGGGTTTCCAAGATGGTAAATCTTTATAGAAGTAGATTGCCCCATCTTGCTTCTGCAGAGCGGCTGGTGGGTTTGAACCACCAACCTTAGGGCTGGGCCTACCAAAAGAGACTACCTGTTAGTGGTAGGCAGAATGGACCTCTGTCATTTAAGCTGTGGTCAACCAGCCATCTCCCTTGAAGGCCATGTGCCTCAGTGGCAGCACTGAGGTGATGACATTTTACATTTGTAGTATGTCCATCTCAGAGCCACTCAAAGTACATTTCAGTCCTGCCCTGTGCCCCCTCTGTAAGGAGGCAGGAGAATGAATCCTCTTAATGGAATTTCAGCCCAGCTTCATGTTTTTCTGCCTTTGTTATTCCTCAGAAATGACATCATCAGAATAACCAAACTCACTGCTGTCGAGTCAGATCCAATTCATAGTGACCCCTCCTTGGATTTCCAAGGCGGTATCACTTGGAAGTTGATTGTCCAATCTTCCTTCTGAGGAGTGGCTGGTGGGTTTGAACTACCAGTCTTCTGGTTAGAAGTCAAATGCCTTAGCAGTCAAATGCTTTAGCAGTCAAATGCCTCAGGTACATCAGGTCTGAAATAAATACAGATTTTAATTCCTGTTCACAAAGTAGAACTTTTAATGTAGTACTGTTTTACCTTTTTTTTCCCCCCAAAGTTTAGGAAACAGAACTTCCTTTGGAGATAGCTTTTACAGAATAGATGTAGTCACTCAAAACTGGTGCTAACTCCAGGATACAGCTTTGTATTCCCAAGACAGTGTAATGACCACCAAGTTGTATGTGCCATTGTTATTGCTGTTGGGTGCTGTTGAGTCATTTCCAACTTACAGCAACCCCATGCACAACAGAGCAAAACACTGCCTGGTCCTGCACCATGCTCATAATCCCTGCTATGCTTGAGCCTGTCCTTACAACCACTGTGTCAATCCATCTCATCAAGGGTCTTCCCCCTTTTTGCTGACCCTCTACTTTACCAAACACGATACTCCTCTTCAGGGACTGGTCCCTTCTGAACATGACCAAAGGACGTGAAATAAAGTCTGGCCATTCTTGCTTCTAAGGAGTATTCCAGCTGTTCTTCTTCCCAAACAGATTTGTTCGTTCTTTTAGAAGATCATTGTATCTTCAATATTTGTCACCAACACTGCAGTTCAAATGTCTCAATTCTTCCTCAGTCTTCCTTACTAATTTTCCAGCTTTCACATGCATACGAGGCTATTGGAAATTCTATGGCTTGGGTCATGTGCACCATAGTCTTCAAAGTGACATCTTTGCTCTTTAACACTTTAAAGAGATCTTTTGCAGCAGATTTGCTGGTGCAATACAATTTCTTAACTGCTGCTTCCGTGGGCATTGATTGTTGATCCAAGTAAAATGAAATCCCTGACAACTTCTTTTCTCCATTTGTTGTGTTGTTGCTTATTGGTCCAATTGTGTGGATTTTTGTTTTCTTTATGTTGAGATGTAATCCCTACTGAAGACTGTAGTCTTCGGACTTCATTAGTAAGTCGTCTTCACTTTCATCAAGCAAGATTGTGTCATCTGCATATCTCAAGTTTTCAGTGAATATTCCTCTAATCCTGATGCCATGTTCTTCTTCAGAGTCCAGCTTCTCAGATTATTTGCTTAGCATACAGGTTGAATAAATATAGTGTAAGAATACAACTCTGATGCACAGCTTTCCTGATTTTAAACCATTCAGTATTCCTTTCTTCTGTTCAAATAAGACTGCCTCTTGGTCTTGTGGAGGTGTATATGCAGTAGTAAGGCAAAGAAAACATGTCTTCATTCAGTTATTTTTTGTTGGCCTTAAGTGAATGACCTTGTATTTCCAAATAGTAGAGGAGCATGGCCATGGGCAGTCATTACATTATTAAGGGCAGCATGAGTGGCTAGCTATACTTGTAGAATTAGACTAAGAAATAATCCCTTACTGTAGGGATGAATGACTGGGTTTCAGTTATCTGCTTGGAGACCTCCTAACTGTGTCTTCTGGACACAATCTAATATCCCACTGAACTTGGGGATACATTGAGTCTTGCTGGGCAGTATATCCAGTTTACAGTGTAATTAGAGGCTTTCCTTCCCAGGCCTGCAGACAGAATTTTTGACACAAACCCCTCTCCTACTAACCTTCCCTGGAGATCTGCCCTGAGGCTGCACCTTTCCTGTGTCAGCTACACCCTGAATCAGGCAGCTACACAGGCAGGTGACAAGTGTCTCTGATTCCCTCCTTCTTCCAGAATGCAGAGAAGGGCATCTGCCAGCTTTTTAAAATCCAAAATCACCTGAAGTATCACTTGTTTCATTTTATTATTTTTCCTAGGACTGCGCCCAAAGAGGACTCTACGCTTGGTACTCTGGACTGCGGAGGAACAAGGTGGTGTTGGTGCCTTCCAGTATTACCAGTTACACAAGGTATGGCCAGGGATTGCTGGACATTTGCAAGTATAAACCAAAAGCATTGGTGCTTTTGTTTAAAAATTCCTTTGATTATCCCACCTAACACCCACAACAATACTTTGAGGTAGGGAGACCCTGGTGAACACTCCTTGCAAAAGCCTTCTTCATCCAGTTCTATAAGTGAGAAGGTGCTGGTGAACTGGGAGTGCTGAAGTGTGGAGCAAAGGATTTTCTTGTTTCTACATCATGGTCTGTGGTGCAGAAGAGTATGAAGGGATGGACACTGGGAGGAGGTAACTATGGGGAGGAAGTGGGAGGGGAGCTGCTGCATTGTAAATTTTGGTCAATGACATGAGACAAAGTATATGTGAACTGCTATATGAAAAGTGAATTTACTCTGTAAATCTTCACCCAAATTCTAATAATAATAAAAAAAAAAAAGATAGACCCTGAGTGCATAGAGACTGAAATTTAAGAGAAGAGACCAAGCACTAAACTTCAATTACATTGTAATGTGTTTAGAGTTCTGATGGAGAAGTAATTAAGTATTGATAGCACACAGCAGAAGTTCATCAGAACTGATCTTAGATGGCGAGGGGGTCAGGATAAGCTATGTGAAGGAAATGATATCTAAGCTGAGGTCCAAAGACTGAGTAGAAGTAAGGCAAGGAAAAAGAGTTGCAGAGGAGGTGGATATTCCTCTTGGTAGATCAAAAAAATATATATATAACAAACCCAAATCACTGCCGTTGAGTCAGATCTGACTCATAGTGACCCCTCCTTGGGTTTCTGAGGCGGTATCACTGTGGAGGTAGATTGGCCAACCTTCCTTCCAAGGAGTGGCTGGTGGGCTTGAACCTCCAGCCTTCTGGTTAGTAGTCAAATGCCTTAGACATTTAGGAGGTAGAGTGAGCGCAGCATACAGAAGACACTGAAAATACTTGAGAGTGGCCTTGCACAGTGGTAGGAGCATAGAGAAGAGCTCTGGTGCTATAGTGGTTAAGGCATTTGGCAGCTAACCAAAAGGTCAGTGGTTGGAACCTCCTAGCCACTCAGCAGAAAATAAGATGAGGTAGTTTGCTTCTGTAAAGATTTACAGCCTTGGAAAGCCAACAGGGGTCACTCTGAGTTGGAATGGACTAGATGGCAGTGAGTGAGTGAGAAGAGCGTAGGGTAGAAAGGTAAAAGAGAGCCTAAGAAGAACTGCAAATCATGGTGAGAGGTTTGGGCTTTATCCTAAAGGCAAGAGGAATAAGTGAATTAAGTTATGGTGGAGCTTTAAGATTCTGTGCATCTTGAAAACTATAGAAAACACAAAACTTAAAATACTTGTTCTGAGTTCCTTTATTCTCTATAATATATTCCAAGAAAAAAAAAAAATGGTTTTAAACTGTAGTGGATCAGACTTGAAATTTCCTTGACCACTGACATTCCTTAGATCTGAGAAAAGGTTTACAGTATGTGCCGCTTATAGCACTATTGCAAGCCTGATGCCCCAAATGACTTGATTTCAAACTTCTAAGAGGTTGGCAGGGATATGGATCTCCAAGGGACAGTAATCACATTACCAGAGCTTGTTTATTGTGATGGTATCCATGTTGCCTTCACACAAACGTGTCTAGAGATTGGTGGCTGGTCTGTACTGCAGTTTCAAGAACGGAAAAAACAAATTCCAGAAAAGGAAAATATAGGATTCTTATTTGAAGATAGCTCTTTATCTTCCCTTTAGAAAGATGTTCTGCATGTTTTACATGATGTAGCCAGTTGTGAAGAACTTACTCTGGATTCAGTGATTACCATATTGATAGAAACACTGTGAAGAGCATAATCATTTCTGAAGTGGCTGAATTTAACTTAAAAATTAAATGTAATGTAATAAGCAACTCACAAACCAGGAGCAACAATTCAGATTGCCTTTCTACTTCTCCATAGCTTTATTCAATGCCAGGAGACAGTCAAACAATGTCCAGAGAGATCCTCTGTTCTGAATAAGGTGATGGTACCTGCTGAAACAAATAAACCCTAAAATTTCAGTAGCTTAACATGAAACTTTATTTCTTGGTTGCTTAACATCCAGTCAGAAAAAGGGCTGTACTCTACACAGTTATTCAGTGATCCGGGAGGACAGACAGACTCTTCAGAGACATGACTTTTAATATCACCTTAAGCATCAACATGGCAGCAGGAAGAGAGTGAGAGTCGTATATGGAACGTTTCTATGGGCCATTCAGGAAGTGGCTCACATTACTTTCACTCACATTCCATTGGCAAGACCTAGTCACATAGTCCAACTGCATAAGAGGTTAGGAAATACAGAATCTGGCTAGGCAACCACTTCCCGGAAGTAACTCTATACTGCAGAAGGGGGCACACAAGCTTTGATGGAAAGCTGGCTTTCGCTGGGGTCTTTTTCTCACTTTTTGTCCTGGTTCTCAAAACACCTCCAGCTTCCCTGAAGTTTCCACCTCCATGATGCTCAGAGATGAGCTGCCTAATAGAATTCACTACCACCATTCCTATCCAGAGGCCTTTGCCAATCAAGATACACAGGCACACTCACACCCATACAGAGGAGAGCTGGACTCCTTTGTAAATCCTAGCTGTGCCAACTATATTGTACATGTCAAATGCATCATTAAAGAAAGACCAAACTTTTTCCTACAATTGAACAGCAGAGTTAACCTCAAATCATATGCCTATTCTTGGACTTTATATAATGGAATCATAGAGTATATACTTTTGTGTCTGACTTCTTTCACTAAACAATATGGTTTTGTGATTCATCCATGTTGTTGCATTAACAATAGTTTGTTCCTTTCTGTTATTGAGCAGTTTTCTACTGTATGGATATACCACAATTTTTTTTATCCATTCTCCTGTTGATGAACATTTGGGTTAAATATTTTGGTGGAGATATACATTAAATACTTAGGAGTAGAATTGCTGGGCCATATGATAGGTATCTATTTACCTTATTAGAAACTGCCAGAGTTTTCCAAAGTGGTGGGACCATTTTGCATTCTCACCAGGAACATATGAGTGCTCTATTTGTCCTTTATTTTCCCAATACGTGCTATTATCATCCTCTTAAAAAAAAAAAAAAAAAGACTTTTGTGGGCATTATATTTTTCTATTTTGCAAGGTAGAGAGGCCTGTAGAGTTACAAAGAAAAGTTCTGCCTCCACTTTTAATGGCGTTTGTTTTTTGACCCTTCTCCGCTTCCTTGTGTTGAGACACCTTCATTCTGTGTTCTGCCTTATGATTTGAGGGAAGCTGAAGGCTCTTGTACCCTGTATGAGGTCTGTGGGGCCGTTAATGGTCAGAGTAACTCTATTTCAGTTTGGAGGAATGGCGATGTCCAGACCTCTACGACTGCTGCTTGACAAAGCTCCAGCTGTCAAGAGTCTTGGGTAGAAGCCAATTTCACCTTTACTTTCGATTGTATTCTGGTCCGTTATCTTAATTGTTACAATAATCTTTATGGTGATCATGCTCCTTCTGGTTCATCCCAGAGGGTCCAAAACTGATTTTCATGTTTCCCATGAATCAGGCCACCTTCCAGATGACTCTCTGATTTCCAATTCCAAAAACCCCGGTTTTCCTAGAAA